CGGGGGGCTGCAGGGCGAGGCACCAGACGTGCTCAAGCCATGTATAGCTCCTAGAGATCGACAAGAACCTTTGAATAATGCGTGAACGTCTGCAGAGCGAGAAGGAGGCTCTAAGTATTGAGTGCTACCCGTACGAGATTCATCAGCTTCTGTAACTCAGTGTCTGCAACTCACACGTCTAACTCAGGCCGGTCGCTCCGCCCTCGCAGTCGCCACTCCTCTTTATCTCGCCATGCTCATAGGTGCGATGTTCAGCCCCACTGCCACCGCACTATGGGCCATCCGCATACTGGGATCCACTTTCTCAGCCTCGCGTCGGTCTTCTTCTGTCTCTACGCAAGGTGCCGGATAAACTGGGCCCCACAGTGCAACAGCCCGACCGCCAGCCTTCGTAGAAACTCGTGCGTAACACAAGTCCGCGGAGACAAACGGGTCAGAATCCATATGCTGTCCGTCGTCTCCTTCATTTCCGCGCTTCTCACGCTCACCAATATCCTTTCCATCTGTGGCTTCTCTGGCTTGCCCGTACTCTACTGGCCAATCAGCTGCTATGCTGCTATTGCTGGCGTAATCCTTAACGTGGCTCCGGTTTCTCCGCGGCGCCTATCTGTATATGACGTTCGAGAGCCGCTGGTACCCGGAAGAGACCTAGCCGTGAGCGCACTGCAAGCTTTGAGGCGTCCATCACCGTACGCCCCGTACGGAGTCTTGTACAGGTAGTTGTAGTATAATATTCGTCATACATGACATGAATTTGGCAAAGTGAGTGCTGTGTGTATCTCGCGACTTCCGCGACGACGGTCATTGCGGTTGCATTACTAATGACATGGCAGGTAAGGTACCTGGCCCGGCCGCGGGGTTGTCTCTGTCGCCTATCTAGTATTATGGCCTGAAATTGTACATGTTTGTGCAGTCACACGTCCCACTATAATTTCGCCATAGGTAATAAAGTCTGCTCCCTGCAAGTTACCTCATGCTCAAGTGTATGCATCCGTAATACCAAGATGCAGACCGCCTATTTCTGTTGTGTAAATGCAGGGATTAATATATTGCCACTAATGTAGAATATATCGAAATAAATAGGGGATGTAACGGCGTTCCAGCACAGCGGTGGTGTGTATGCGCAGCCCCTGGCCGTTCGCAAGTCTGTATAATGTCGGCAACTTAAGCAGATAAGGAATGATTAGATATCGAGACCCTGCGATCTACGCTCTAGTCTACGGATTGCGGGGCAGCTAGTAGCCTGCCCATAAATTAGCCTCGAAAGCGTAAGACGCGAGCACGGGTGGTAGATCATAAGTCATGAACCTGCATGGACAGGTGAGATGCCCCCCGCTCCCCTCTGCTGTAAAATACAGTCTGAGATTGAAGGCTAGACAAAGAGTGCAGCTTACCAGATAGCTATTTTCAGAGTCATCTTACCCGGCCGCGGAGCGCCTTTCTGACGCTCTTCAGGCCGCTGAGCTTCAATAGTGCACTGCCCCGCTTCGTGGTAGGGGCCGTCTGCTCTGCAACCCGTAGATGTGATGGAGGAAGACTTGACGAGCGCGCTGGAATTTGTGTGGGTGGCCCAGAAACGCCGTCTTGAACCTGGTACGATTGAGCAGGCTCGTCCACTGGTGCGAGTTCAGTTGGAGGATCGCTCGCCTCGAGTGATACTTGTCGGTCGTGCGTCTGCGTCCTGGAGCCCTCGCCCATAGCGAGATCAAAGGGCGTGTCACTGCGCATGGCCATCTCGGCATGCTGAGGCTTCAGCGAGGCTGAGTGGTCGTCGTCTGGGAGGGTTTTGCGGGTAAATGTGTCCGTTGGGACTGCCTCCGATGATAAGGCAGGCGATAGCTTCGGCGACGGTACAACCAAGGAAGGAAGCTCATCGGCATGCGTGTCCGTGCGTGAAATCGGCGCCGATGATGCAGAGCGTGCATTTTCCGGGGATGATACGTTGGCTGACGCGTCAGCCGAAGCTAGCTTCCGCGAAGGAGGGAGTAGCGACTCTGGCGAGGACGCGCTCGAACATGGAAACCCATTTATTTGTTCGACGTCCGACCTCGGGGCCCCAGATTTTGGGGCGGTAATCTCTGACTGCATGGCATCGAGGTCCCGTACGCGGAAATGCTGCTCGTCCAGGACCTGCAGGCTTCTCGGTAGTGGAGTAGACGGAGAGGCGTCCTTCCGCAGTGCCGGATCGACAAAGCTGAGATCATAAGGCACGTGCTCGTTCTCGATTGCACACCGAGACCTTGAGAGATGCGAGGCAGCGTCGTCATCGTCTCCTCTACCAGTGTTGGACAGCGGGAGAGTAGCAGGAGATAGTGTCGGACGGTATGGGTCGATAGCGGGAGGATTCATGAAGGTATCGACGGGCGCCACAGGAGCGGATGGCTGTGCAGATAACCAGGGAGAGGGAGTGAACGAGTAGCTTTTCCGTGCCGGGGTACTTGAGTTTTGGCGATTTTGGGAAGGCTCAAGAGCTGCGCCTGACGGTGTGTCAGCCTCTCTGCCAGTGTGTCGACTGCACAGACGAACAATCTTAGCTGTTGGAAAGACATTAGGTACACACGGCCGCATCACAAGCAAACTTCGCACCGAGAATAGCACTGCTCCATTTCTGCAGGTCGGCCAGAGCGTCCCTCCGCGTAAGCCAATGAAGGCAGCGCACATGCCCATGCAGCCTATCAAGCCAGAACAGGCTAGAGAAAACTGTGTGAGCTGCTTGACAACGATAATTCGCTCTTGAGCTTACATAAGGCCTAATATAACGGTCATCACCCAGTCGACGACCGCCACGCCCTTCGCATCCTCGTTCGCGCAGGCGGCCACCAGCTTCCATGTCCCGAGGCCGAGTGTCGTGGAGCTCACGAGCACGGCGTACCAATTCAAGGGCGGTTCATCCTCGCGTGCGCTGCTGATATGCTGTGGCAAAATTGACACGGATATGGGCTGCTCCACGCCTACGCTAGTGACAGGTGGAGTATGCCCTTTGTGCCATTCTTCCGTGTGCACGAGCGTTGACGAAGATGAGCCGGAGGTCTCTTGGATACCCGTGCTGATGTCCAGTGGCGGCTCCGGCACATTCATCTCCTCGCCAGACTCTGTCGTCGTATAGATTGAAGAGTCGTCGATGCCACCATCGTCACCATCACCGTGCGCCACAAGGTCGGGGGATGCTATGCTGAGAGGAGAGCCTTGGGGAGCATCGGTCGAGCTAGCGTTCATCGGAAGGTCTTCTATCGATGTTTCGACGTCGTCGCCGCTGCCGCCGTCCATTACAAGGTCGGCGGGTACTATGCTGGGAGAAGAGTTTTGAGGAGGAGTGGTTAAGCTTGCGTTCGTCTTCGATTGAAGTTTCGAAGTTACTGCCGCCGTTATCCTGCGCCAAAATCGCGCCTTAGGCGGCGGCGGGGACAGCGGCAGCAGCGGCGGCGGCGTTGACTCTAGCACCTG